AATTATTCTTTTAGGTCGACACCCACAAAATTATTAATCAAACTAACCTATCCATCATCTCCTTCACCTCTTTTATGGCCAAATTATAAAGAACCCTAGTAGCATTAAAAGAGCTGGATATTTGAGGTCTCCCTGTCACAATATAAAGTTACTTAATTTATTAGTATGATTGAACAAATACAAAGTTAGAAAATGAAGGAACCAAATACTGTCATTACCATCTTCAGTGAAGCCTATTCTGCACAGATTGATAACAACCACAATAGGGCCTTCTTTATGTTCAAGTTGTGCCATGTATGCATTAGTAGAGCATTCATCATATAGAACTAACTCGACATCATTATCACTATAGAATAAAGATGCAAGAATGATGGTCATCAATATTTAGTAAGTGCTTGAACATAATGTCATAATAGGCAAAAGAAAGTGAAAAGAAATGTAAGAAAAATTGAGCATACTCCTTGTCCACCAACAACATGCGGAGTTTGTGCTTAGTCTCATTATCCTTGCGATACTCCTCAAGATTACTTATCTTCTTCAAGTAACCTATGACATCTGCAAAATAATGGATTTGGAGTTAGATATTTATGTAATACACCTTATATAAGAAACAGTACTTGCATGGAGCAAACTCACCAAATAGATGGTCAATCATTTTTTCGTCAGTGACTTTCTTGATCTCGGATATTGGAAAGAATGAAAATAAGTCAGGAATTGACGCTGCATCTTCCCTTATATATGTTTGCTGGCTGAATGCTATCTTAAAAGGATGAGTGGTTGCTCTAAATTGGTTTTCATTTTTAGATAGCACAAAGTTGGCAATAAAGTAAACATGTCCTTCCAAAGGGAAAGATCTAAACTGATCATGAAGGCTCTTGTTCAAGACACTTGCTTGAATCTTGTTCCCCTGTGAGAAAAAATGAGGCATATCTATGAAAGGCAAGAAATAATGGAGAGATCAATGGAAGTAGCATTAAACATTATACAGATTTAAAATGAGTAAACAGTATCATATAAATTACAAGGCACCTCAACGTCAACTAAGATCATGGTTATGCAGAATAGTTCATTGGGTGCTGATTTATGGAAAACATTCCACTTCCTGTGGATTCGAACGATAATTTTCCACCTATCAGTACCATCATGCAGCTGGCTAATCAAAGAAGTTGTAGACATTGTTTAGAGTAGGCAAGTGTTATATGGAAGATAGTGATTAGAAGGGTATGAAGATGGAGGCTGTATATGCAAGGTTATATAGATGTAGAAGTGCATTCCATTTGGTGGGGAAATTGTAGTGAATTAGGATAATTTCTATTATATATTTTATCATTTTTATTTAATGAATTAGAATTAGAAGTATATTCTGGAATTTATGCACAAATATGGTAGCTGACAATACATCTATTGAAGCATGAAACAGCAGGGGTATCATGAAATGGAAAAAGATTGTGTGTCCTGAGTATTTAGGCATCTTTCAGTGATAGGACAAAACATTTAAAAGAAGTTGACCATTGATTTTGAAAAGATATTTAGAATGGATATGATAGAGCAATGGATGTTGTATATAGTAAAGAAGAGTGAGTTTTAACCTTTTTCTGTACAAACACGTAAAGGATATGAATAAAGACATTGAGGAGTGTAAAAATAAAATATTCACACATTCCAAAGATATCAGTGGGAGCTGTGTTTCTTAAAAAGCAGCTAGCCTTAGGTTTGAAAGGATACCTAGAGAAAGCCAAACTTCTGTTTTGACTCAACTTAGGGATTTAGACATGCAAAGGACTTCTAAATGGAATACATGATTACTTTAGAAACTGGCAATACATGTATTGAAGCATCATGCAGCAGGGAAATATGAAAATAGAAGGTGGCCTGCTATTGGAAAGGCCAAAATAATGAAACTCTTTCTACACTAAAAGCTGCAATAAGAACAATGCAGATTAAGCTATTACAACAGGCAATGGAATGATAAGGAAAAAGGATGAAAAGTTATTTCACGATAGGTAGTGTAAAGTTAAGAACTACCTAGAGAAGGCCAAACTTTTGTTTGATTCGTCATTAAGATTCATGCATGGAAAGAACATCCAAATGGAATCTTAAACTGGCAATACATGTATTGAAGCATCATACAGCAAGGAAATATGAAAATAGAAGGTGGCCTGCTATTGGAAAGGCCAAAATAATGAAACTCTTTCTACACTAAAAGCGGCAATAAGAACAATGCAGATTAAGCTATTACAACAGGCAATGGAATGATAAGGAAAAGGGATGAAAAGTTATTTCACGATAGGTAGTGTAAAGTTAAGAACTACCTAGAGAAGGCCAAACTTTTGTTTGATTCGTCATTAAGATTCATGCATGGAAAGAACATCCAAATGGAATCTATACACAAATATGTTACCTGACAATACATCCATTGAAGCATAAACAACAGGGGTATCATGTAATGGAAAAAGATTGTGTGTCCTGAGTATTTGGGCATCTTTCAGTGATAGGACAAAATATTTAAAAGAAGTTAACCATTGATTTTAAATAGATATTTGGAATGAATATGATAGAGCAGTAGATGTTGTATATAGTAAAGAAGAGTGGGTTTTAACCTTTTTTCTGTACAGACATGTAAAGGATATGAATAAAGACATTGAGGAGTGTAAAAATAAAATATTCACACATTCCAAAGATATCAGTGAAAGCTATGTTTTTTAAAAAGCAGCTGACCTTAGGTTTGAAAGGATACTTAAAGAAGGCCAGACTTTTGTTTTGACTCATCTTAAGGATTTAGACATGCAAAGGACTTCCAAATGGAATATATGACTACCTTAGAAGCTAGCCATACATGTATTGAAGCATCGTACAGCAGGGTTTTAATCTTATGTAAATAGATAATGTGTCCAGAATATTTGGCCTTCTTTTAATGATAGGACAAAACATTCACTAAATTTTGACCAATGATTTTGAATAGATATTTAGAATGGAAATGATAGAGCATGAGATGTTTTATATATTAATAAGAGTACGTTTTACATTTGTCCTTTGCAAACATGTAACTGTGTGGGAGAAAACACACTATTTTCTTGGGAAAAAAAATTCATACAATCCAAGTAAATCTGTAAAAACTGTGGTTTTTAAGAAGCAGGTGAACCTAGGTTTACAAGGATACCTAGAAGAGGCCAATCTTTTTTTTAATTCACAGCAGGGATTATCAGACGCAAAGGACTTCAAAATTTAATGAATGCACAAATCTAGAAGCTGGGAATACCTGTACAGAAACTCAGATTTTGGAAGTATATCTATAAAAGCTGTGTTTTTGAAAAAGCAGCTGACTCTAGATTTGAAGTTAAAAAAAGATATATAGAGAAGGCCGAACATATATTAAAAAGTTGCCCATGGATTTAAAATAGATATTTAGAATGGATATGATAGAGCAGCAGGTGTTGTAGATATTAATAAGAGTAGATTTTAACTTTTTCATGATTGTGACTTGTCAAGGACGTGGGAGAAAACACACTCATGAATGTAAATATATAATATTCACACATTCCAAGGTATACTGAAAAAGCTGTGCTTTTTAAAAAAGCATTTTAAAGGGATATCTAGATAATAGTGATATTTAAAAAAATAATATTAAACCAGGCAATTGGCCTTGATTAAATTAGAAGCATGATAGGTATCACTGTTCTTTCTCATTTGGATTTATGCTAGAAAAAAACGTGATATACACAAATAAGGAAGGTTGCTATAATGTGTTTAATTCAGATATTCTTATTAATATGATTTGACCTCTAAAGAACTACTGAAACAGCTTTAACAAAAAGATCTGAGTTCTGGTACATGTAGGCATTTAATGAGCAATGAAAACAAAATATCACATTCATCCATCACTTTAACCAAGATTTGTAGCAGAATAATCACAGGATGACTATTCGCAGTTAACACAAAATTCCAAGAACATTAATAAATATGTGAAAACAAACAGACTCAGATAAAGATTGTAATGGATGTAGAATGAAATCAATGTTAAATATTTAATTAGTATACAATCAAACTCTAATATCTTTGGTTATAAATAGGTGATACCTCCAGCACACTCATTTAAAGTTAAAAATATCTCTTCATTGGTATTCGACCCGGTATATTACTTTTACATAATAGGTAAAAAGATGAATTGCCCCCCTTAAAAAGGTAAACCGAAATGAATGGCTGATGTTTTATTATTTTCCCAACTAATATCTTTGACTATAAATATGCCAAACCTCCAACATGCTCATTTGAAGATTCATAACACATGCTATATCAAAACAACTGATTATGAGCCATTACGTTTGTTTCTTAGAGCATGAGTTGAATGCACTCATTCAAGGATGGAGAGATTGCGAGATAACATGTATACGAGTGTGCTGTGGACCCATTATAGTGACAGACGAAGTGCAAGTGAGCTCAAGAACTACCTACTTTGAAGATTATATTTATGTAATGGGTATCATCCTAGTAGGTTAATGGAAAAACAGACTATGTAGTGTGAGTTTTGATGATTAGGGTAATAGTGAGTATGACATGTAATTGGAGTTATCTTGATTATATCGCACATTTAGTGGATATGTAAGGTAATTATCACATCTTTATATAAAAAAAATGAGATGAATAAGTGCAATACATTAAAGCCCATGAGTTAAATATAAAAAACAACCAAGCAATAGAGAAATTATGACTAACATGCATGGTGAAACATTTAAATACTCGAGATACACATAAAGGACAAGACATTGTATAACTAAAAACTGAGAGAACTTGAATGCATTATTTATTTCATAATATAAATTTAAACAGAAGATTGAAGTCAATGAATTGTCATTAAGAATGAGCAATGATATGACATGGGGATACTTCTGAACTTGTAAACACGCGTTAAATTATACAATAGGTTTGGAAATAAAAAGTTTATGATGAGTTGATACTTTTAACAAAAGCATGTTGCAATAGCCATTTATATGGCATCATACCTGGTAAACATTGCCCTTTCCACATGATGACAAAAACATACTGAGCAGAGAATTATTGACTTTGACTGCCAAATATGTCATCCTGAATAATTTGCAATAGTATAATAAGATACAATAAAAAAATAATTGTCAACAAAATCCACATTGCATTTATAGAAACTATAATGTGGATCAAACCTTGTCATATAGAAGAAGTATAAGAATACATTGATCTTGGAGATTATACGTGCTAAACACAACACACACATAACTTTTTGGAATCTGTAACACATTGGACTTGGCAGTCACATAAGGAAGAAGGAGCAATCTAGTATAAGAAGATATACATGCAAAAATATGACCTTATAAAATTTGTGATTATTATGCAATTATACAAATTATAAATTTATAATAAGAAAGATAATGCCATTGGAATCTTTATTAGGTGAATGACTTCAAGTTGAAAGATTTAGGAGTGTAATAATTACTGTGTTCTTCATACACTACAAGTTAAAAGTAAACAATTACATATCATTACATATAACTACTAAAAATTACCAGGAATAACCCCATTAAACTGTTCATCACCATCTACTTTCTAAGTAATGAAAAGATTTTTGGCACCTAAACTTTCAAACTTAATGTTACACTAAAGCGTGTTATCTAACACTGATATAATCCGTGTTAGATAATACTATGTATTTGGAACTTGTATAAGCAAACATCGACGTAATGATATAAAACAACTACAAACAGAATTATAAACTTGCAAAAACTACCATTATTATACAATAACTGTATGATTTAATTATCAATATAATAATAATAATAATAATTTAAGTCCACCAATATAGGACGAATCCCTTATGAAAAAAACAATAATGATTGTTTAATTAGAGTTCTTGTGAGGTTTATGTTAGTGTTAAAGGACAAAATTAAAACATAACATGTGTCAACCAATTTCGTTCATTTATCAATGAACTCAATAAAAGTACATTATTTATAAAAGACATAATACATTGATCTTAAGAAAAGACTATAAGTACTCTGATCTTCATACACAAAGATATAAAAGTTAAAAATGTCATAGGATTACAAAACATCTCTACCAACAACCTACAATGGTCTTGGATCCCCAAAACCATCTGTTAACATTTATAAGCTGCTGCCAGCAAGGTCAGCATGTCCAAGGTTGGTGTACCAGCGGACTTTGGCAACATTTTTGAACTCCTGAAGGAAATCTCTGCCTGGGATAAATATTAAATACTCATAGTAAACATATTTAAGGTGATTTGTATAAGACACATGTGGGTATATCAATAATTAAAGGAAAATACGTGTATTGTTATTAGTACATGTATCCATGAAGGGAAAACACACAAACAGTCTGGTCCTTATTCTTTTAATTCATTTTAGGAATTTACACATGCAAATGATGTCCAAATAGAAGAAGTGCAGGAACGAAGAAGCATATGTGGAATCTCTTTTTTAAAAAGCAGGTGACATTATCTTTAAAGTTTAGAATGGATGCATAAAGAAGGCACAACATATATTTAAAAGTTGACCATGGTTGTAAAAGAGATATTTGGAACGAATATGATAAAGCATTAGATGTTCTATATTTAAAAAGATAGTACAAATTACCAGGCAGTTTAAAAATAACAGCATACTTATATGACTGATATGTTGTCCAAGCATCCACAGCAGAATCTCCTTTTAAAAGACAATTCATCATGTCTCGACTTTGTGAGCCATGAAAAGAAATATAAATCAATATTGGAAATTAAAGGAAATAAGCAAGTATTTTGGTTAAGCAAAGAAAAAGATTTATAACTTTTAACAACAATTTTTTAAAAAGATATTGTATCATGATATACCAAAAAATAAGGACAGCAAAATGTTATAATAAGTAATTTATCATGTTATCATATTTATGCACAAATATGGTAGCTGACAATACATCTATTGAAGCATGAAACAGCAGGGGTATCACGAAATGGAAAAAGATTGTGTGTCCTGAGTATTTGGGCATCTTTCAGTGATAGGATGAAACATTTAAAAGAAGTTGACCATTGATTTTGAATAGATATTTGGAATGGATATGATAGAGCAATGGATGTTGTATATAGTAAAGAAGAGTGAGTTTTAACCTTTTTCTGTACAAACACGTAAAGGATATGAATAAAGACATTGAGGAGTGTAAAAATAAAATATTCACACATTCCAAAGATATCAGTGGCAATACATGATTACTTTAGAAACTGGCAATACATGTATTGAAGCATCATACAGCAAGGAAATATGAAAATAGAAGGTGGCCTGCTATTGGAAAGGCCAAAATAATGAAACTCTTTCTACACTAAAAGCTGCAATAAGAACAATGCAGATTAAGCTATTACAACAGGCAATGAAATGATAAGGAAAAGGGATGAAAAGTTATTTCACGATAGGTAGTGTAAAGTTAAGAACTACCTAGAGATGGCCAAACTTTTGTTTGATTCATCATTAAGATTCATGCATGGAAAGAACATCCAAGATAGCAAAATGTTATAATAAGTAATTTACTTTCCGCATACTATTTCAAGTATGTGGAGAAACCATTAAACATTAACTTGATCATGGTTTAAGAATAAAGTTTGAAAAAAACATGAAGTATAGAACCAAAATATTAAGTTATATCTTACTTTATGTCTGGCCAACTATTAACATTTCCATTGGAGTATCCTTAAGTGATAAAAAGGAAAGATAGAGTGTTGTAAGGCAAAGTTCAGGTTGCAATAGAGTATGAGTTAATATATGTTTCAAAAAAAAATCATAAGTATTGTCACCTATAAATCAAATACCATTAGGTTGATAGATCGTGCTCACTTCGGATAACCAAGATCGAGCTCATAGACTTCTTGGCCAACACAAGCATACATCTGTTCTACTTTGATGAGTATATGCCAGGTTATCTTGGTTCGATCAAGATTGTTGAGTAGAACAAAATGATTTTTGTCTAATGCATTAACGTTATAGGCATCCATTCTGGGTTAGACAAAGGGAAAATAGAGAAGGATTAAATACAAAAAAATATATGGCCTTTGTATTAAAAAAAAAGTGAGCAGATGTCCTAATCAGGGGGTATGGTTAGATTGTGTTGAACTATAAGACCAGCAAATAAGGATAGAAATTGTTATAATAACTAAGTAAAAAAACATGCAAATAAATCAAGAGAAAATACATCATATACCAGTAAATACATTAACTTCACCCAGCTTTCAGACTGCAAGATACAACCCTAGGACGAGTTTGAGAAGAAGATGGAACGGGCGACGGCCGAATAGAAAAACAATCTCAAGACAGCTTCAAGGCTTCCATCGAGTTAGGATAATCATGCAGGAGGCTCCCAAAAACTATTTTAGAGTGACATTTCTGACCGATTGAAAGAGAAGGGCACCGTAGGGTTGGTGGAAGCAGAGTAAATTAGGGAGAATCTTGCCAAGAGAGAGAAAGGGTAGTGAATGGAGACGTCAAAGTGAGCTGCACGATTCAAACAGTGGGTAGTGTCAAATACTCTCAAATATTGGAGATTTTCTTTACACAATGTATACTGGTATAATTCAATGGATAAAACTTTGCATCCTCACTTTATCGTACATATTGAGGTAACTTCACCCATAGCAAGTAAAACACCAAAAATGCCCATCAGTCCCTTTGCTTTTTTGTAAGCTGTGAAGGAAGACATATTTCAGCTCTCTTGGAAATGCCGTAAATACCCCCATTTTACTGTTCATAAGCATTAAGTTTTGGAACTGTTATATATTATATATTGATATCCGATTTGTTTTCAAAGTTTAAAATAAAAATTAAAAATTCATCCTCATTATCATTGGCATTTACTTGTATATGACAAAAAACATATAAGTAGTAATTCAAATTTTTAAACCACTTCCATGTTATCACGTTACAGTTTGTTATTAATTTTTAAACAATTCTTGTTATTTTACATGTATTACTTATTAGTCTTTGACATGATCAATTACAAATTGAGAGTTTTAAAATTCCATGCATACTTATTAAAAGTTTGAATGTAGTGTTATTAATTACAAATAGGTTGTTGTCAAAATACAAATAAGTATTTATTAATAAATAACTAACACATATAATTAAGCTCATCCTATAAATTTTTTTCACTTATATATTACATTGTAGTTTTTATTAGGGCTAAAGAATAAATCTGCCCCAAACTTTTTTAAAGAGGCGCAATTAGTATTCTTACATTTTTAAAGATGCAATGTTGCCCTAACATTTTTAAAAACAGTACAATTTTACCATAGACAAATAGATCTAAACATTTGACTGAGGTTGATCATTTATTTTCCTTATTAGAGTGCCACATTGATGCCACATGTGAGTTTTTTTTTTTTCCTCCCTTATTGTCATAGGCATCTTCATTCTTCTCTTCCTCGTCTGCCTTCATCATTCTTCTTCTAGATTAGGGGACTCTTCATAAATCTCAAATCTCTCACACATATTTATTCAATTGAGTAGAAAACAACCCAAATCGTGTGTTTCTTCATCGTTTTATCTCCATCTTTAATCAATCCATAATTTAGAAAAATCAAAGCTAATTAGCTAGGTGAATCCCCTACACCCATTCCATGGCTTCATCCAAACAAATCGAAAGCATCTTATCACAAGAATTCTAAAGCTCCATCAAAATCTTCTTTCCAAAATTACACACAATCACATCCTCAAACTAACCAGAATTGCTATTTCAACACTCTATTTCAATGTTATAATTACACATAAATACGCCAACAAACTAACCAGAACTAATTTCTTTAATAATCTCACAACCAAATACCATCATTCACAAGCAAAATTATAGCCCCAAAATGCCACAATCCACAAATTAAGACCAAAGACAATGTAAAGTGTAACATCCTGAAATATTTAAGACTCAAATTTATTTTAAACTAAAAAAAAATATATGTATATATATAATTAAATTAAAATTAAGAATAATTTGATAAAAGTCTGGAATTCAAATTTTACTAAGCAAAAGTTAATTTTATTTTTTAATTATGAAAAAAATTATTAAAGTCAACCCAAGTTTTTGTGTTATAATAAAAAATAATTGGCCCTTCTTTGTAATTTTTCCCAACATTTTTGTGATTGGTTTCCAAGTTAAAGCATGCAAAAAATGCAAAAATGAAAACAAAAGCAAAGAAGCAATGAACAAGAACAAGAGAGAGAGAGAGAGAGAGGAAAGAGAGAGGATGAAGAGAGGGAGTTAGGTTCATATTTAGGAAGCTTTGCAATCGTTACAAACTCGGCTAGACGATAGGTAAACTCTCTACTTCAATCATCCTCATTTCCTCTTCGTTTTATTGAGTTTTTGGAAGAGATAACTTTTGAATTTTGATCTCAAAGGCTTTATTCTTATAAGTTTTAGTTTCTTTGGGTCCTTAGGAGGTTCTTTTAAGTTTCTATATAGTGCTCTAAAGTTTTGAGTGGACAATTAGATTAAAAAGGGAGTTTAGGCCAAAAATTAAACCCTAAGGGATTGGGTTTTTCTCTTTAATGATTTCAGCCTATTGATTTAATTATAACTGTACTATTTAAATCCAATGATATTAAAATTAAGCTTCAGTTTTTATTATAAGGGCTAATTATGAAAATTACTAGCACTAAGTGAAGGTTTTTAGTTGATTAAAAATTGTATGGTTTGGAGCCTAATGATGGCTAATATATGATTTTGGTAGTTAAGTGATACTATGTAAATAGTTGATTTAATATATGGACCATTGGAATGGATTATAGATCATTGACCTTGGTTGTATGATATGAGTTATAGTCTTCTTTAATGTTATTTGTCATGATAAATGATGTCTATCACTTATATGTATTGGTGGAATTTGTTTGAAAGTTAAGGGACAAGCTAAGTCTTATTTTCGCTACAAAAGAGTTGAGGTAACAGAGAAATTTATATTTTTTATTGCTTTGTTTAGTTATTTTTGAATAAATATTACTAGCTATCATGCATTATTACATGTTTTAAATTGTTAAATGCAATTAATTGTGTTTTATAAAGACTTATGGGATACTACTTGAATAATGATGCATATATATTTTCTATTTATTTAACAATAATGTTTTTATAAAAACGAGATTGTCTGCATGCATTGTAATTATAGAGAATGAAAGTTGTATTTAAGGAAGTATAATTGGGTCAGGTACTTTAAATAAGCTAAGAAACTGCTTAAGGGAGGAGTGATATATGTTATACTACCTTAGAATGTTGAAGTAGTCAATATTCAGGAAAGGTAAACAAGAGTAAAAAGCATGATCTTAGTAGGAGTTCACCAATTAGGAGGTGTGAACTTGTGATATTCTATGGCACACTACTAGTACTCAGTGTTGCCTTTCATATTGTGAGCTCAGTGCACTAAAGTGGTTAATGCATTAAGTGTTCAACACCTCTCAGTGGAGGAGGGAATCCAACATATAAATTATGAGTTTGAGTGCCTAGGTTAAGGTAGCTCTCACATGGAGAGTAAGTCGGGTTAACTCTGGGAGGGAGTTAGCTTCGACTGCTTAGGATTCACATTGAAGAAGCACAAGTGGTTAGGTAGATTCGATCATGCTTTAGATTATGTTTGATGCCTGTGGAGGTACAAGTGGGTATAAGATTTACCTGCAAGCTAAAGAGTGCCAAGGGGCATTCTATCGGTCAAGAAAGGTCATACTAGCCTATGTCATGCATTCATACATTTTAAATGACTAAATTATATGTTGTGTTTAATCAATTATTTATTTATTCAATTATGGCTTACTTTGTAATGATACATGTAGATTTTTTTGTTACTGAGACTATGGTTGTTTCTTCCCTTTCTTTTCAATATTTTCAAGTCCAAGCAAAGGATCTAATGATGGATGGGGAAAAGAGCTGAGTTAGGGGTTGTTTGTGGATTGCAAAAAACTGCAATCACTTTCGTTTGAACAAATCTAATGTAATGTATTTAGAATTAGGGGGCCAATAAGATGTGATTATATATATGCATGTTAATATGTATGGATTGTATGCATTTATATGAATTTTTGTCAGCTTGTAAACTTGTGACTAGGAAACTTTGTTATAGTGTGTGGTTTTAATGGATTCATTTGGTAGACCAAGTTTTCACTACAAGCAGATGTTTATTTGGGCGTATATGTGAATATATGTAATTTTATAAGCAAATGCAAAGTGGTTGCATTGCGAATGTTGTGCTATGGACAAACATACACATTGGATACAGTAGGTACGCAGGCCCCACAGGGATCTCTAAGCCAAATAAAAATATTTAGTGTGTGTATTTATATAAGTATATGGTGTTTGGATTAGTTTATGACCACTCTTGTGTGATTTATGGATTTTAGGGGTTTAGGTTCCATTTTGAAAAATGACACTCGAATGGTCAAATTTTGATATAAGGAGTTTTTCTGTCATTGGAATGTTCTATTAGGTAGTTCTAGTTCTATTAGACATGTCCAAAGTGTCCTCATAAGTTTGTGACCCTTAAGATGAGATTTAAACAATTTTGAAAATAGTTTTTACCAAAAAGCTACACTTTTGCATCTGGGTGTCCAAATATTAATCCGACTATTAGATTTTCTTAAAATTTGTGTCACAAGTAAAATATTTTATAATCTTTGTGTGGGTTTTGGAATTACCTTGATTAAATATTGGACAAAAAAATGATGTACTTTAGAAGTTGGTCCGGTGTTTTCATGACAACAACAGTTTCTAAGACTGCAACATGCACGAATTTTAATCCATCTATTGGATCTTTTTAAAATTTGGTGTACTAGTAGTAATCTTTGAATATGACATGTGAGTTCTGGAATCGCTCTGATTGGATATCAGATGATAAAATAATGTACTCCAGAAGTTGGTTTA